ATTGATGAAAACGAAATATGCAATGTATGGAATTGCTGTCAAAAATCCAAGCTAAAATTTTGGTAAACTTAACGAAAATGGTTCTAACTGCAAAAAAGCGAAACACTAAAAGTCAACATACCGAAGTGAAATCAAGTCCGAGTACATCATTCATGAATAGCGGAAGACTGGTCATCATAATATATGCGCCCCAATCACCGGCAAAATGACCACAAAACAGAGCCCACACCGGAAGTGATGTCAAAATTGATACCCAGGGAACTGCCCGTTTCTGAAAAAAAGATAAAAATGTCGCTGAAAGCTTATAATGGTCTAAGAGTGACTGCGTTCAGCACGAGCTGGAGATGCTCAACACTGATCAAAGATATTTTGAAATGGCTAAAGCCTGGCAAAATGCTCATGCCCCGAGTTCCACTGGACTGATAATCGCTTCAGGGAGGCAAAAAGAACGCTGGAATCGCTCGCAGAATTACCATCAGGCAGCTTTGGTCAAAACAATTGGAAGGATCACTAACTGATGGGAAACCGATTTAAGAATTACAATTAATTCAGCACTTCAAGCAAAATTATGAAGTGGAGAAAACAAAGAGTGCAATGATTTGGCTGATTTTTTAAAAACTACAGTTAAAAAAATAAAATCTTAATGTGAAAAAAACAGCAAGCCCTGGTCTTATGGAGTGCTAGCGGACAAACATGATTAGCACAAACTCGCCTTGAAATTTTTTTGATAAGCTGATTTTTTTCTCCTCCTATCACTGCTAAAATTCAATTAGCCAAAGACCCCACTTGCGCCTAACAAAAGCAAACAAATCTCCTATAGCTTGCAATTCTATATGCTCTAACACTTGTCTTAATCACTCTTGAATAACTTCAGCTTCGCTTACCGAGTTATGCATAATTATATATTGTGGATGTTTTAGATTTCAAACAGTGAATTGCTCTTGTAAAATCCACCTTCTGGCACCTAGGGTATCGAAGTGCAAAGATTATTTGTAAAAATGCTTTTCCACGGTTCTTATTTCGGTATTTAGGTATATTATGGCGGAACAGCAGATGATTGAAGTGTCAAAGTAAGGATGAATAAATATTAAAACTGAGCAAGACTGTCTCGAGTTGCGACCGCTGCTTTTAGTCTTCCTTCCTACATGGCATCTGGCGCTCTGTCTGTGTTTACAGCTAAGGGATGAAATACAGGCTGCAAACATACCTGATCCATTAAAATATGTAATTTTCAAACAAATTTACTAGATATTTCACTTATGTTAGTTTTCCAGAACCGCCAGTCAAGGTCCGTGTTTTACAATTTTTACTATTCAGTTTCGCTGCCCGCATGTCTGTGCACTAAGATCTTCACACAACGTTGACTTTTAGTGAAAAATTGAATAACTAAAATACCGCTTTTTTAGCATCAGAACTTAAAACATCAGATAACGAATCTTCGATATAATTTAATTCATTCTTGGATATTCGTTTACTACGTGATGGGCGATCGGAAACATAGAAGAACCATAAAGCACACCAGGCGACACCAGCAATACCTACAAAGATTGATACTGAGTACTGAATAACAGACTAAAAAGAAATCAGTTATCAGACGCTTCAAAATCTGAAATGTTCTGTTAAGATCAGATTTAAAAATTCATATTTTTAAAGTCTAAATATGGCAATATCTGAAAAAAAATGGTTCCGTCCATTCAGTTACACATACTCCTCTTGAATTTTATAACTTATTTTAAAACACGAGGGACTTCTTTCAAGCAGTGTGCTCACAGTGACAAAAATATGTGTCTCAAGAAATCAAATTATTGAGATTAGAGCGAATTTCAGTACAATGAAGTCAAGAAACACTGATTTATTTATATACAACATGGAAGTCTAAGAAAAAAAAATCCGATAGAGGCAAAAAATAGCTATGAACTTCCAAGCTTGCTAAAAGAAGAAAAACTGAATTTGGAAGTTAAATTTGGGTACCAAATACCTCAAAAGAAACGATAGCAGAAAGAAACGGAAAGGAAGCAGGAAGGGCGGAATTTTGAATAAAAAGAAAATTTGGAAGTCAAAAATGAGAATGTTGTA